ACGTGAATACCTCTTCATTTTTCAAGCATATCAGCTTACAATAACAATGCGAATTTTCGATTCGTTCCGGTACACTAAACTCGAGTGGGATGAATACATTGTGATAGACGTTGATGTTCTCTTTGCCGTACCTGAAAACTGTCAGAACGGAATCATACAAAATCTTCAATGTAATGCTTCAAATGTAAATGACAGTCTTCAATGAAATCATTTATATGCAATGCAATGCACGACGCACAACTTGAATGACCGAAAAGATTTAACTGAGACACAATTTCAGTTCTTGTTCCCATGACCATCACCATAATGAAATGAATTCCTCTTCCCTCAAGAAATTGGAAACATATAAAAAATTTCAAGTTATCTTCAACAGTAACCAACTTCGCAATTGCTGCTTCTTCGGCTAAACCGCAACATCCATATTCTAGGGGTGTGAACACAGTGGTTGGTACTTGATCGTATTCTGTCAACTCGGAGTTGCCAGTCAACAATCTACGCATCAGTATACGTCCAGCTTGAATAGCAACCGGCGTTAGCTCTGGACATCCTTCCAGTACGTCACCGATCGCATAAACGTACGGACACGAGACACTCTGCTCACGACGGCCAATGATCTTGCCAGACTTGCTGCGTTCAACATCAACCGTTTCGAGACCCATTCCATCGGTCACTGCATCACGACCGATTGCCATTAAAACCTTCAATAAGCAAGAATATACGACTGCTTCTAGAAACCGTTTGGTTAGGTTGTAATCGCTAAATTATCAACGCCAAAGTCGCGGGCGGGTCCACGAGCAGAGCGAAGAAACCATTCAACTGACCGTATTGAAATCTTCAGTGACAACCCTCTTATTACCATCCTCGAAGGATTCTTCCCACGAAACTCGCACCAATCCAGGCTTGTCATCAGTTGGCTCATCAAGACGTTCGTATTTTGTTGGAACTGCGCTGCAAGCAACGACAATAAAAGTTCCATGCTTTCACTGACAACATATAATCACGCATCGGGTCATAACATCGGATTCACGTAACACTAACTGCGATATACGCTTCGGTGATAATGTCTCTCAAGGATATCAACGAATCTTCCTATAGAAGCTTTGCACCGGCACTTTCTGTAAGGCAACATGTTTTCAAATGCTTCTCGGTTGGACGTTTTTTTCAGAGGGCAACTTTTTTGACAACGAAAATTTCAACTGATACAGTTTGCTGATGACAGTGGAATAATAAACAGAAGCGAACAACTCACTGAACGAATTTAATATTTCGAGTCATCATATGACTACGTATCCTCTCGGCCATATCCTGATCAAATCCTCGCAGCAATATTGATCGCACCATTACCTTCAATCAATTTCAATATATAAATCTGAGTTTCAAAATAAACTTCTTGCATGAAGCCTTTGAAACCGCATTAATACTAACAAAAACTTACAGTAACTTCATTGCCAATTCCCTTTAAGAAGCCGGCACACTCCAGCGAAACATAGGATGCGCCAACGCATAGCGTTTTGCCGGGATTATAGCTGAGTGAAAATAGATCATCACTGAAAAAGCCAAACATGTTCCAGTGATTCTTCATTACTTTAAAGCAATATCAATGCCAAGCTGTCCAAAATCGACGCCGTTATACCTGTGAGCCTAACAGTACAGCTTTCTGAATGCTGCTGCTGCTGTTGCCATAATATTCTCAAGTGATAGCACAATGAAATTCTGTGTAATAGAAGAATGTTTACGTCTAAAAATCAACACAATACAAACATGTAATTCGGTCCGAGCGAACCCACCTACTGATGCAACATTCTTTCGCACCTTCGACGTCCGGATAACGTGGCCGTAAGCCAGTTGCGATAATAAACCTATCTGCAGTGATCTTCTCCACTTTGTTCTTCTTATTCGTTGTTGTCAGCTCGTGTGTACCAGTAAAAACACCATATGCATTCGAATATGTCACCTAAACTAATAC